TATGTATTTGACTTAATAATATATCCTAATAAATTGTTTTTTTGGGGGGGAAAGATATAGGTAGAGGGTGAGCAGTAAATTAGCATACAGAATAACGAAGGTGTTTAACAGATTCAAGGACCAAACAGGACAGAGTAACAAGCTTAGTTTATATGGTTACCATTTATTTGTCACATTGCTCATGGACCCCAGCCGTACAGACCAGTAATCATATGAAGCTGTAGAACAGTAGAACAGCAGAGGCCTAGTTCAAAACACTCCCTGTCTCTGGCCATCCATGAGCAAGGTTGCCAGCTCCAGGTTGGGAGATTTGGGGGCTGGAGTCTGGGGAGGGTGAGGTTTGAGGAAGGGAGGGACTTCAGTGTGGTATAATGCCATAGAGTCAACTTTCCAAAACAGCCATTTCCTCCAGGGGGACTGATATTTGTCACTCGGAGATCGGTTGTAATCCCAGGAGATCTCCAGCCACCACCTGGAGGGTGGGAACCCTACCCACGAGGAAGAGCCATTCACACAGAGGGCCACAACTGGGACAGCGCAGTGTTCTAGCCAATCACAGTGAATGGTGCAAGGTCCAATGGTTCTTCCCCCACCCCCCCAAGGTCCAATGGTTCTTGATTACAACCTGCAACCTGAAAATATGTCTGTGGTAGACGTTATTCTGACCTGAGTGAGAAAAGACTGTGAAGCCAAACAGAATTTTGCATTAGGTGCTTGGAAACACAAGATAGGGGACACTGAGGAATCTAATCTGAATCATAGGCTGAACTTCCCTTGTGGACATTCCTCAGTTGTTTGAGTGAAGTCGAAGATCCTGCTGGTTAGTCGTTTCCAAAGGAATCCTGAAGCAAAGTACTTCTAAGACAAAAGGGTCAAACTCATTTGATACGAGGGCTGGATCTGACATAAATGTCACTTTGTTGGGCCGGGCCATGTGTGCCCTAAAACATAATGCCAGGTCCTGGAGCTATAACCTGTATAAAGGGCAGCAGCTCATAAGCTCTGAGTTGGTGTATCCTCAACTGCAAGGCCCCATGGGCTGGGAGGGGTGTGCAAAGGAAAGCCCACATGGGCGGGCTGGAGAAGCAGGAGTGCAGCACTAGACAGACACTCCCACGATGTTTGAGTGCTGCAGACGAGGTTCTTCCACCATGCTGAAGCCATAATGGAGTGGCTCCTCCCAGCACTCCCTCCCTTGTACCAGTTGCTCGCTGGCTGCCTAAGAGCCCTGGACAGGCTGGTTTGGACCGACTGGTTCCAGCCCTTGGGCCTTATGTTTCACACCCCTGCTCTAAGAGCTCTGAAAACACAGGTGCACACAAGATTCAGTGTGGTAGAATGTTGGACTAGGATTAGGACTAGAAAAATCAAATCTCTGCTTGGCCCTGAAACTTGGTATCGGTGGCTCATCGATTTCTCTCAGCCTAATTTACCTCACAGGATTGTTGTGAGGATAAAATGGGGAACAGCAGAATCACCTATGCTACCTTGACCTTGTAGGAAAGGTGAGGTAGGTAGACCAATTTATACACAGAGACAGACAGGTTAAACATTCCTATTGAAAACCATTGGATTTAAGAGGTCCTCACTTTGACTTGGTTCTGGCCACTCTTTCAATAGGCTTTTGAAGAAGAAGAAAACGATGAAGAAGACGAGGAGGAGGAGGAGATTGGATTTATACCCCGCCTTTCACTACCCAAAGGAGTCTCAGAGCGGCTTACAATCTCCTTTCCCTTCCCCTCCCCACAACAGACACCCTGTGAGGTAGGTGGGGCTGAGAGAGCTCTGACAGAAACTGCTCTTTTTCAAGAACAGCAGAACTACGGCTTGCCCAAGGTCATCCAGCAGGTTCAAGTGGAGGAGTGGGGAATCAAACCCAGTTCTCCCACTCTGTGCACTTCCATATTGGGGGGCTTTGCATACAGGAAGAAAAACTTGCTCTTCCAGGAGACTCCAACCATTACCCATCCATCAGTACACCTTTACCTTTTACTTTGGAGGATGTCTGCCCAGATTACCTATACCAGCTGACTTCCTTCAGACAATTTTTTACGTAAGTACACAGGCCTCTAAATTGTGATTCAATTGTTCTTTTCACCATGGATATCAGCTGTGAGCATATACTTAACTCATCTGTTTACACTAGACCCACAATAAGTGTTTTCTGCTAGTGCTGCAGAGTCAACACAGCTAAGGGACAGTGTTAATTTGTATTCTGGCTAACAACTCAACATGTTCTCAACAAACTTTGGTGTACTTTAATTATCTGTAAGTGATAAGATATAATAATGAATTTTGCTCTCTTTTACTTTACCAGCTATAGATAACAAAGGCAAACGAAACCAAAGTAGCTTATTTTTTGTTTCTTTGTCATTATTTTCTTTTCTTTTTTTGTTTTAAGATGGGAATAGTGATAATGAACATGAGGAATGGCAGATCGCCAGGACCAGATGGTTTGCCTAGTGAACCTTTTCAGATTTCTTAATTCCAAAACTTTACTAATTGTATAATGAGATTTTTTTAGTCTGGTTTATTGCCATTGTTACTATATGAGCATGATGCACTGTGATCCCAAAACTTGGCAAAGACCATATTCAGAGTGCATATTTTGACCTGTTTCTTTGATGAATGTAGATGCTATTAACTGCTATTTTTGCTAACAGACTTCAAAAGGTTGTTGCATCTCTGGTACACATAGACCAGGTAGGATTTATACGAGGTAATCCGAAAATTTTAGCCTGGTCACTGATCTGATTGCTTTAAAATAGTAAGACGTCTGATCAAGCTACCATTCTCTCACTTGATGCTGAAAACGTTTTTGACAAAATATACTGGAACTTTACCTTTGCTGCATTGACTAAATTCAGTTTCTCAAGTGGATTAGAATTTTTTATTCATTTCCCAGATCCGTGACATTCCCTCTTGAGAGGGGGTACTAGACAGAGTTGTCCTCTTTTCCCTCTTATTTTTAATCTATGCCTGCAATCGCTGGCTTATGCCATCAGACAAAATATCTTTTACACAGATGATCTTTTATTGTTTATTATGCAGATCATCTTTGCCAGGTTTTGAGATTACAGTGATATAGGCATCAAGATCATATAGCAATGATGCCAAATGAGCCTTTCATTCTTTCATTAATGAATATGATTCATACCTTCAGAGATTTGTCGAAATGAACTTTATCAATATTTGAACACATAGCATATAGATGACAATTGCATATGACTTATTTTTAGATTTTTGGAAACCTTTTATAGAAACTTAGGTGTAGATCTGCCATCACTGTTATATTTCTGTTTCTACTTTATATATACTTTTTCTTGTTTTCTTCTTTTTAAATTCTATTTAATTGCTGGATTTTGAGAGTCCCCCCCCCTCTTTTTTTCTTTTTTTGAAAGAAATTTTTAAAAATGAATTTTGCTCTGACCACATGTCTGTCTTGATAATGTAGTGAATTCTGTTTCTTAAAAAAAAAAAAGTCAACATATAAAACTGACCGGAGTGAAAATTGAGAACCCAACTGAATTTTAAGACATGCATGACTATACTTTGGACTATGCTGGAGTTTGTAAGGACTTCTCCTTCCCTGTCACCGTGTGCTTAGAAATGGTAAATAAAATCAGAAGACTCCAGATTTATTTCCATCAGATCAGAGGCTACAGAGGGAAGGCCTGGAGAGCGACCCCCCTGGCGATTCCAAGGCGGGGGGCCAAGGAGGGCCTGGAAGGATTTAAATGCCTCCCCATTCCTTTCCCGGCCTGTCCAAGAGTCGGCTTGGGATGGGGTGTGGCCTAATATGCTAATGAGCTGTGCTGTCTGGGTGAGGCCTAATATGCTAATGAGTTTCTGCTGTTGGGCATGGCCTATTATGTTAATGAGTTCCTGCTGGGCTTTTTCTACAAAAAAAGCCCTACTCCTATGCATGAATAAAGTATGAGCTGAAACTACCACGCTATGCCTCAGTCTTAGTACTTTATAACTATGGTGACCTTTATCTCCTGGATGGAAGTGTTCTCCCACTGGTTTCTGGATATTTGCATTTTTGGTGTAGATTTGTGTCCATTTATTCTTTTGTGTAGAGGTTCGCTGGTTTGTCCTATGTACAGATCCTATCTGGATCGCCTTGTCTCCATCAGCATTGGACTTTATTGTTTCACTGAGAGGGACTGACTCAGATTGGAAATTTGTTGGGGTTTAGAGGTGTTTTCAATATTGGACTGACACCCGAGATATTTTGTATAATATTCTTTATTCAGATTGGAACACTTGATTAAAATTTACAAGTTATTTTTATAAATTCTTTGTTATTATATTCACGGGTTTCTGGTCTTTTGTTAGTTAGGCCATGAAGTACAACAGCCCCACAATTTACAAGTAAGACTGAGGCAACACAGGGCTTTCCCACATGCTCAATTTACCTCTGAATTCTTTGCCAGTTGCTCCACAAGCACTGGAATTGGTTTGGGTGCGGTTCTTCTGCACATCAACCCTTCCTCTGCATTTTTACAATTGTGGGTCTGCACATAGCTTAAATAATCAGGATTTTCAAGGGAGGGTTGTGTCATCATTGGTGGCATCACAGCCCCCCCCCTTTAAAAAAAACCAGCCCTAAAATATCAGTATGTCTATGTACAGTTATATTGATAGGTTAAGCAGGTTGTCTGAATTGCCAGCATTTTTTTTTTTAAAGGAAGTCTCTAGTATCTTCCCTGGCACAGATATTTTTCTCATATCTCTGCAAGGGAAGAGGCTAGAGCCTTACCCCCCCCCCATGAAAGCTGGGAATTCAGAGAATCTGATTGACCTATATGTCGCTACAAGGGGCAATTCATGTTGTGTAGTGGGAACACCTGAAGAACTGTTTGCATGCATGAATGAAACCCACTTGAATCCTACTATACCCCTATTCTGGCACTTCAATACTACATAAAGATTTTTTTTTAAACTACTAGTGAAGAGATGAAGAGGGGGGAAATAGAAATCATAAGAGTTTCAGGTCATTGTTTTGCCATAACGTCCAGTGATATTTCCATCACTTGATGAATTGCACACGAGCAGGGGTCATTCTGTAGAAAAAGAGGTGCAGGAGCTCATTAGCACAACTCATTAGCATAACTCATCTGCATATGTCACGCCCCCTGACATCACCGGAAGTGTGTCAGAAGACAACACCCACCACTCAGGCTCCACTGGACTCTTTTGGATTGCTAGCTGGGGGGCGGGGGGGACACACGCAGATCTGTCCTCACAGAGGAGGGAGAGCTTGTACCTGAATAAACCTTGGCCTTAAAGGTGCCACTAGACTGTTTTGGATTGCTGGGGGGAGGAGGCTCTGCAACCTAGGTGGCAGGGGGCACCCTCCTACGTTGCGAGGTGTGGTGGGCGGCGGCAGAGCGACGAGGCAGCGGCGGCGAGATCAGCGGGGCGAACCCTGGTGGCCAGCAAAGTGCAACATTGAGCGGTGGAACGGATGACGGCAGAGGCAGAAGACGCGGTGACGTGGAGGCGCAGGCGCGGCAGAGCAAAAATGGACGTTAGCCGGAGCCGTGCTGACACGAACCGCTTGCTAGATGGGCCCACCAAAGAAAGCCAGCAAAATGGAAGACCTATCCCTAGACGCCAGGACGAAAGCACCGACCCCGAAGACCGCCGGAAGAAGTAGGAGCCAAGCCGGAGAACAGCAAGCCCCACCACCTGGGTGCCGGTAGGCAGCCCCTGCACTATGTGGCCGTAGATAGGGAAAGTAGACTTAGACTTTGTATGTAAACCGCCCAGAGACCCTTCGGGGTCAGGGTGGTATATAAGCCGAATGTATAAATAAATAAATAAATAAATAACTTACCTGGCTGCTTCTTGCTCCTTGTGGCCTGGGGCTGCTGGGAGCAGTGGGCGGGGCTTGTTGCATTTGCCCGCCCCCTGGGCTCTTTACTGCCAGAGCTCCGCTCCTGTGCACTCCTGCAGGAAATGACCCCTGTAGATAACACTTGTCTCCCCAACGGAGAATGTCATTCAGAAAGAACCTCCTTGCTAGCTATGACGAGACGTATGAAGAACAATAATTTGGATGTGAACTTACCATGTTTAGGAGTAAGTAAACAGATTTTCTGTTCCATGTAGTGGCTTTGTCTGTTTCCTGACCAATTTTCAGTAGACTAGAGGATGCCAGCTAGAATAAACAAACACACAAACTGCAACAAAGATGCCTGCTTTTAAAAACTATTTTTATTCCACGGTATGAGTGATTTTGAGTATAAAGTACACTTTGTATAAGACAAGCTACCATTTTCGTATTAGGAATGCTATGAGATTTTGAATGCAGAGCATTCCACAGCAATAAAGGGAACAGGTAGACCATAACTGCACAGCTTATTGGATGAGTGCTGGAGGTTGCCGGATCAGACTGATATTATTGCAAGTCAGCAAGAGTCAAGCAGCAACTGATACTTATGCACGCCTATAGTGCTAGTCAAATCTTTTAGAGTCAGCTTTGTAATGCTGTGTAGAAGAAAGCCATGATACTGTCATTTGGCTTTGAGACAAAAATTAAAACTGTAAAATGTTAATCACGGCACAGCTGACAGTCTTAGTGGAAATAAGAGACTGATTTCTGGAGCAGATTGTGCCAAAATCAAAACTGGACATACAGCCAAGAATTCTCTGAGACGGTCTTCAATGCTTCCCTTGTGAATGGTAAATAAAACTGCAGCAATCTGGTTGATAGCTTTGGCCAGGCAATGGATATTGTTGCAGTGATCTAAACAAAAACACATTTGTGTTATTATTTTACCTTCCCTCACACTTTGAGTGTTTTGGCTGAATGGAAGATATCTTTTAATAGCAGCAGGGTTATGTTTAGAAATGGATTAACTTTCAGGTATGTTACAGGAGCCCTTTGGTACCTTCAATTTCATAAAGAGGATCTAAAGACCTTTCACATTTTACCGTTGCAAAAGAGTATTAACATTGCATTAATTTAAAATCCTTTTTACAGACCCCCCCCCCAAGTTTCCTTTCTTCTCACAATATATCAGTTTCAAAGTTTTAGTTTTGAGCTTGATTGCTACTAGGCACAAGAATATACTGCTGCTGGTATACAAAACCTAAGAAGCTATATATCTAGGGCAGAAATATGGGGAAATTGCAACTGCTTATAATGCAAGTGGCCGCTAGAATGTTTTTTGATAATCTTTGCCAATACTTGCATTCAATATTCCCTCTAAGCTGCAGAGCCTTGTGAGCAAAAATGCTACTTTGTGAGCTACTGGCATTAAAGTTGTGAGCGAGTGATTTGGCTACTGCATCAATTAGCTTGCTCTGGAGCCGTCCTTCCTGAGCTAAGACAAAAATCTGTGAGCTGGAGGCTAAAAACCTGTGAGCTAGCTCACACTAACTCATCTTAGAGGGAACACTGCTTGCATTTTGTCCCTACAAATGCCTCCAGTCAGATTTATGTGCAAGTGCAAAGCACATTCTTGGTAAGGATGCTTAGAAGTAAAATATGACTGTAAGTGAGAGATTTTAACCTCCACTTTCAAAGCAAATACTGAGAGATATAAAACTGACATGATATAATACACACACACCAACACCCCCCCAAATGCCATTACCGTAAAGTGAAAGCCAGCAGATATTGATACAAAACCTAAACAGCCTTGCTCCCATGATAAGCAAACAAACAAACACATCTTCTCAACAGAAATGTAATTAGTTTGAATGTTACCTTCAATGGCAGGGCTGTACTGAGACATCACATTACTGTCCAAAGTTGGTAAGGAGACTGCCACAAAGACCATTAGAAGGCAGGTGATTCTATATTCACCCTGTGGACCAGTATTTTCTGAAAAGAAACAGGCACATTAGCAAAGTGTTTGTAACAGCATGAATCCAGAACAGAATTTTGTTAATTCAAAACATCCAAATTCTTATCTGTCAAGCTCCATGCCATGAAAAAAAAACATGTAGCATCAAAGAAGTTAGCTACATACCACAGTATCAAGAGGGACCACTGAATCCAAGCAATGCATATAGCTGTGAGAATACCCACCATGGCGATTATCACACATAGAAAGTTGGAAGGATCACATTAATTAATGTATGGTTTGGCCTAAGTGAAATTGGAAATTCTGGAAAAAGGCTAAATTCTGTGTTTGTGTGTGTGTGTGTGTGTTAAATCCCCGGAGGGATATTTTTATTATTTTTTAATAAGACTAGAAAAACTACAAAGAAAATATGAGGGAAAGGGACTACATCTATGGATAAAGGAAAGATAACCACACTAAACTAAAAACCCAAGAGGAGGAGATCATATCTGTGTTAAACTAAGTGTTAATAATTAGAGTGTTAGTACAACAATATACTTGTAGAGTTCTTGTTTGTCTCAGTTTCAGTGTTAATATGTTAGCTGTTATGAGAGAACTTTTTAAAAAATAAGTGGTTTTTTTATTATATTGAACAATATATACAACAGTACAATCATAACACATATTAACACACATATTAACACTGTGCAATAATCAACATTTTCAACCCTTAAGAGCCCTTTTATTTTATTTTTTTAAAAAAATATAACAGATCTTTGTAATAAGAGTTGTTAGGAATCACTTCTTCTTCTGCGAGATAGTTCACTGCTGGGAACCAAGTTGCTTGAAAATCTTTTTGGTGAGAGACAATTTTACCATATATAAAGTGTTCCCCAGATTTTGTTTTGCCAACATTGGAGTGTAGGTTGATTTTTGTTTTTCCAATATTGTGCTAATGTTATTCGTGCAATTGCTAACAATTTCGCTATTAATGCTCTAGTGACTTTTCTTTTGCAGGTATCTGGGATGACATCCCTTTTGCAGGTATCTGGGATGACATCCAACAGGACCGTTAAAGGTAAGTTAATTCCCGTGATTTTGTGGATTTGTTGTACAAAGTGGGGTTGCCAGGTCCAGTGGGGGATGGGGGATGAGGGGGGCCTTACCGGGAGCGGGAGGGAGGCCCAGCCAATGTTGCAGCGATGTTTCTACGTCACTTCTGATGTGGCCTGGAAGTGACATCATCACACACTGATGTCAGAGTAACCCTCTGGTATTTGGGCAAAAACTCTGTGGTAAATTTGGTTTCTACCATAGACTTTTGCCCAATTACAAGAGCATTGCCCTTATTTTGCCATCATGATGACATCACTTCTGGGTCACGTTGGAAATGACGTAGACACATTGCTGCAATGTTGACTGGGCCTTGCTCTTTTCCCAGCTAACCCCCCCTGCCAGCCAGCTGATCAGCAGTGGGGCTTGGTGGTGGGGGATACCCACCTCCACTGCGGGTTGGTCTGGCAACCCTATAGATAAGTGAAGTATGGGATTTGGCTAAGTTATCTAAATTGATTGAGTTTATTAAGTTGATAGATGGAAGGGCTGGGCCTGTTTATGGGTTCCATTTAGCTATGAATCATAGAATCACAGAGTTGGAAGGGGCCATCTAGTCCAACCCCCTGCCTGAGGAAACTCTTTTTGGATTCAGTCTGGACTTAGGGAGCCAATGCTTGCAAAAGTGCTTACGTTAGATATTTCACTTTTATTAATTTATCCTTTTTGTTCACTGCTCTTATATTGTATATCTCTGCACATTCCTGTAATAAATCTTATTAATTACATTTCGTGGTGTTTTTAGGGGCTTCAATTTGAATCCAAATCTTTAGCCCTATTGGTGACCAGAGTAATTATTTTTGAAACTTGACTTGCAAGGATCCCAGTCCTTTGGTCTCTGGCTGGTGGGTTAGTGGTAGCACATTACCCTGGGGTTGTGAGGAGTCACACTTCAGCACATTGTGGTTTTGTTTCGGTGACGACTGCGGGACACTGCCCAGATTTTGCTGTCTGATCGCGCCCTTTAGATCCGTCAGGCATTTGCAGCTATGTCAGATCTAAAGGTGCATGTGATCGCAGCCATAGTTTGTATGGAAAAGCAATAAAAACATCAAGAAAAAGAAATGGTATAGCTCTCCATTCTTTAAAAACAAAAACAAAAACCCAACCAAAACCACAAGTCTGGTGCACTTTAAAGAAATCAATTCAGAAAGTGCACCTACACAGGTGGACAAGTGACAGAATGCAGAAGCGTCCCTGCCTGCAATATCTATAATAATACCTGGTTTTTGAGAAAAAAGAGCTACAACCAGGGCAGGATCGATCTCACAGCTGACCAGAGCTCATGTATGTCCATTGTAACCTGAGAAACAGAAAAGGTTACTGAAAAGTGAATATCAACAGAATTCTATGCAAGTTGTCAGAGAGCGCAAGTGCAGAACAATTTCAAAATTTACAGATATGAAGATGTGAAAATCTGGGAATTCAAGAGCAGCTCCTGGTGGCATCTAGTCTACAGAGAAGGGATCCATCAACAGTAACCAGTTACCCTCCAAAGCAATTTTTTTACTTTCCTATCAGTCTCTTGGAATGGGATCCTTAAAGTCTTCTATGAAAATTAAAAGGAAAGGAATGTGGTAGGAATGTGGCAGGATAAGACCCAAGACAAAAGTAACAAGCAACAAAATAATTTGCTTTTGCTATCACAGAGGTCCTTGTACATTGTTTCTTTGATGGATTTGCCTCCAATCCAGCCATCTGTCCCAGTCTACATATGCCACCTTTGAAAGGTCTGAAAGCACAAAAGCTATTCTAAAGGAGCAGAAAAACACAAGCAGCTGTGAATAGTTCCCCACAAAAATTTCCAAAGTCCATCCTTTAACAGGAAGGTCTGTAGTTCAGCAGTTCGAGACCCGAGTGCCGCATGACGGAGTCAGCTCCCGTCTCTGGCCCCAGCTCCTGCCAACCTAGCAGTTCGAAAGCAAGAAATTGCAAGTAGATAAATAGGTACCGCTTCGGTGTGAAGGTAACAGCATTCCATGTGCCTCGGCATCTAGTCATGCCGGTCACATGACCACGGAAACATCTTTGGACAGCGCTGACTCTTCGGCTTGGGAACGGAGATGAGCACCGCAACCCTAGAGTCAGATTCGACTGGCTTTCAAGCAAGGGAAACCTTTACCTTTTCCTATGGTCTTCAGTATCCTTTTTTTGCCTCAGCAGTCCTTATCATTAGCATTTAGGATTTAACAAGGATAGTCCTCAAATTTTTAGAGTAATAAAAAGCTTCTGAGAATAACAAAAGCTTATACGTATTCAAAGTTAAACACAATAGCTGTTATGTCGGGTCAGTACTTACATATCTAAGTCCTTCTTGTGCCAATGACTGGAAAGACTATATGATGCCAATAGTGTTCATCTGCTTCAAAACTGTGAACAGAGGGGGGGGGGACACGACAAGACAAAATGAAAGCATTAGTGATCCCTGCACTTCAATAATTCACACACCCAATTTCTGAAGGGCTGTGCTGTGGCTCAGTGGAAGAGCATCTGCTTGGCATGCAGAAAGTCCCAGGTTAAATCCCCAGCATCTCCAGTTGAAAGGACCAGGCAGGAGGTGATGTGAAATCCCTCAGCCTGAAACCCTAGAGAGCCGCTGCCAATCTGAATAGACGATACTGACCTTGATGGACGAGTGGTCTGATTCAGTATAAGCATGTGTTCATGTGTTCAGCATAATGGGGAAATGCCTATGAAAAGCAGTGTGATTTGCAAGTGCCTTGCCATAATTTAAACTATGTATAGATTTTCTTGCTTTCCTATTTAATGGTTTCATTAGTTTTGTTATGATGCCCTTGCCTAATAACATTTCTTTTCATGCCTTAAGTGGGTTTACAAAAAGTTTTCTTCTCATTCCAAGAGTTTACCAATTGAGTTTAGGATTTTATACCCAATAACGTGAATGTATCTTTATGTCTCTACAGGTATACTAGTTTGGTGATTTCTTTGTAAATGCTTTACAGGTTTTTCTCTACTGGCCAGGGGGATTAACTGGTTTCAGCTATTTACTTCTAGTGTATATACAAACATGAATTCTCTCTAGAAACCAAATTTTATCTAGAAACTAGTATAGTCAACCATAATTTAGTCACATCATGAGAAGACGACTCACTGGAAAAGACGATAATGCTAGGAAAAGTTGAAGGCAGCAGGAAAAGAGGAAGATCCCACGGGAGATGGATGGTCTCAATAAAGGAAGCCATGATGCTCAGTTTGCAAGACCTGAGCAAAACTTTTAATGACGGGACATTTTGGAGGTCATTAATATGTAGAGTCCCCATAATTCAAAGCAATTTGATGGCACTTCTTCGCCCAAATTCACTGCCACAGGAGGTGGTGGCAGCTACAAGCATGGACAGCCTCAAGAGGGAATTGGATAAACATATGGAGCAGAGGTCCATCAGTGGCTATTAGCCACAAGGTAGAGATAGGAACTCCCAGTCTGGAGCAAGTGATGCTCTGTATTCTTAGTGCTTGGGGGGGGGCAACAGTGGGAGGGCTTCTAGTGTCCTGGCCCCACTGCTGGACCTCCTGAGGGCACCTGGTATTTTTGGCCACTGTGTGACAGAGTGTTGGACTGGATGGGCTATTGGCCTGATCCAACATTGGCGTCTCTTATATTCTTATGTCACTTAACACACACACACAGAGTTTAAGAAGCAGATGTAAAACACCAAATGTGTTCCACACTCATATGGGGACTTTGCAATAGAAAATGGCAGCTTTGGGAGCAAAGGATAATTTCATCCCTGTGTAAACTCAAGATGGCTCAGCCTCCAAACCACCCCAATTTCTTATGGTATGTAATCACTATGAAAGTTGGTGTGAATCAGGGCTTTTTTTTTTTTTAAGAGGTGCCGGAACTCTCAAGAGGAAAATGA